CTGATTATTCGCTTGTCTCTAAGGCGCTTAAGTTTTGACTGAGGTGATATCTAGTGTATCAGCAAGTTACCTTACACTTGATACCCTTGATACTCTGTTCCTTCACCGCACTGTCCTCTGAGTGGTTCTTTTGTTCTCATTTATTTTCTCTCCGTTTCAACAGAGCTGCAGCATTGTTCACCGCGGATGACGGGGCGTGTCAGGGCGCATGGGTTTGCCACGGCAGCAGCCCGTTTTTTCTTTCTTTGGCAAGCGACAAACTGCATCAGATCCTTCGTATCTGTCGTTTTCACCAGTTGTTGTTGCTCATCTGCTTCAACAGCTAGGGGCGAACGAGCTGGCGGCGCGCCAAACCCAACCCTTGATGACACGTTCCTTCATCCTTAGCAAATAAGGATTGTGCTACATATCATTAGGGATGAAGATAAACTGCGCATGCGGTAGTAGTCCTTGTCCTGGTTGAGTTAGCTGCATTACGGTGCCACGAAAGTGCACGGGGCGGGTCTGGAGAACAAAGATACCTGAATGCCGACATACACCGCACGCTGCACGACCAGCCACACACTTACCCACTGCCAAATGAGCTACTTGTTTGCGCCCTTTCGTGTCAGGCTGTTCTCTATCTTGCGGGCGTGTTTCAGTTCAAAATTTCAATCCTGAGGCAAGTGCCCCCTTGAGTAGTAGCTTCGTGCCGCCGTCAACCAGGGCGTGCATAAAAAGGGTGAAATGTAGCAAACCAGCAATCCAAAAATTTTCTCTCACGACAAAACACGACCACCCCCTCCCCATCTTGCCAGTTGCAAAGACGAGCCCATGTTGTATTATGCAACGAATGGTGTGCCCTAATGAGGATACACAGGACATGTTTTTCACACCCTCGCCGATCCCCTCTCTCCAAAACCCATCCCGCGCGATACGTATCTAATCGTTTTCGTGGATTTATCTGTTCGTCAGTTCGATGCAAGCTTTCAGCGCACTCTGCAGCAATCTTCTGGATCATTGCCTGATCGATTTCTTCAGCTTACAGCCTTCGATTTATATACGTATCTTCTCTTGCTGTTACGCTATTACGAACTTAAAATCTTCTCTTACGTACTTGGTGTGCAACCATGTGGCTTTTCGGCTTTGTTGGCAGCTCCGACCGGAGAAACCATTTATTGCGTTCATTGGGGAGTGAAGTGTAAGGGAGTGATAAGAGGGAACGATTGCTAGCAAAACGCAAAACCAACCGCTTCCCCACCAGTGTTTATCAATCCAGTGTTTTGATTGTCATAACATCATCCTTAGGAGCACTTAGTTGGTACCCTCGCTCCAATACCAGAAAATTATGAGGTCACGAAGAGGCGATAGCGTACATGAAAAGGGAAATTCGCCAGCTATAGTGAGAAGCTTTGACGAGTCCACTATAGTGGGCACCTCACTGATCTTGGGGAGGGGCCATTTTGCCCTCACAATCAGAGAGAAAAGACAATCGTCACTAATCATCTTGAGGAGGGCGCCATTCAAAAACCGCTACGGCCGATCTGGAATTACCTCCATCCGCAACCGAATCCGAATAATTAAAATTACTGCCAGCTTGCTCCACCCGCTCCGGAGCTTCTTAGCAGCAGTTGAGTGGCAGAAACAATTACAGAGATATAAAGTGATAGCATGTAGCATATGACTTGGGCTTGATCCTCGGCTCTACTCGAGACTGGAAACACCTGAGCTTTACGTATGGTCTTAACTCGGTGGTTTCTCTTCATGGGTACTCCACTCGGGTGAACGTTGTGTCTTTGAGAGCACTGGATGCCTGGTTTCTAGAAGACTTGGGAGAATGCAAAGTAGACAAGAGAGAGCAGGTGAGAACAGAAAATTGATGCCGAGTTCAATAAGTCCGTAGATTGCACCAAACAGCAGTTCTGAAATAGGCCACGCCTAAAATTCCATTGACAGTTGGTGTCCTCAGGGAACATCATTCCCTGGAACTGTTGTGGTGCTTTCGCCGGCTTTGCTAAGCTTCTTATGTCTTGTTCTACAGTTTCAAAGAGTGGACGGTGAAGGCTAAAAGAACGGTGGAAATCTTAAAACATATCTCGTCAACTTTACAGCCGCTCACAAAGCAAATCGAATTCGTTCCCAGTGTGAAGTGCAGCCGTGATTAATAGCCTTTCCATCTTAAATCATACTCCAACTGATCTCGCATGCCCCTCTCATTATCATTCTTAGTGAATTTTGCAACTAGAACTTCCAATTAATTACCCCACTTCCTTAAAAAAAAAAAAAAAAAAAAAAAAAAAAAAAAAAAAAAAAAAAAAAAAAAAAAAAAAAAAAAAAAAAAAAAAAAAAAAAAAAAAAAAAAAAAAAAAAAAAAAAAAAAAAAAAAAAAAAAAAAAAAAAAAAAAAAAAAAAAAAAAAAAAAAAAAAAAAAAAAAAAAAAAAAAAAAAAAAAAAAAAAAAAAAAAAAAAAAAAAAAAAAAAAAAAAAAAAAAAAAAAAAAAAAAAAAAAAAAAAAAAAAAAAAAAAAAAAAAAAAAAAAAAAAAAAAAAAAAAAAAAAAAAAAAAAAAAAAAAAAAAAAAAAAAAAAAAAAAAAAAAAAAAAAAAAAAAAAAAAAAAAAAAAAAAAAAAAAAAAAAAAAAAAAAAAAAAAAAAAAAAAAAATCATGAAATTGACACATTCAAATCTATGGATACTTATTTTACCCCTTTTATTCCGGTTTAAATTCTATGCTGAAACGTTCCTTCCTTGCCGCGACAATATAAGAATTGGCATTCGTTTAGCTAAGTGCAGGCACTTACCAACAACTTAGCATAAAACCTGGAATAACCTATACCTGCATGCAAAGACCTAATGATTCTTCATCTTTCAGGTTAGCGTTCCCGCACGTCGCAGGGTTCCTTGTCCTTGTAGCCGTACGGCATTTCTACTATTCACGACACTCGTCCCTTGTATGTTATTCCTTCTCCCATGCCTCGTGGTCTAAAGACAGAAATTCTCGGGAGATCGCTACCCTTTATCCACGAATTTCATTCTGACACGACCCTCCTTACACATTTACCTGCGTTTCTATCTTAGGCGACTCTCAATTCTCGAATTTTTCCTCACTTCCCACTACTGGTCCTCAGACTTTCAGAAAGTTGCGCACTTTTCTTCTTCAACTATCGGAAACGGTAATCAGTATATAGGGCTTCGACTGCGCCACCCAACGATGTAGATAGCGCGCATGAAATAGCAAAAATCGTTATCAAAGAAATTTCTTCATGCTCAGTATCCCCCTTCCTTCAGCGACCAAGTGCAATTCCCTCCTCGCTGGGGCTCCCCAATGTACGCCGTGCCCTGCTTATCCAAGGCATCTTCTACAATGGTCCTTCTTGATGACGTCTCCATCTCGGCTTTTCGTAACGCTTGCCTAGGACTTTGAAGTCCGTGCTTTCCCTATAGGGCCGTCTCAAGCCCCACGTATTCCTTTTCCTTGGCCACCATTCGGCAACAATGTAAAGTCATAGGCCTATACCATTATGCAGTGGTTTTCACCGAAATCGGTCGGGGCGTGTTAGCGCTGCATTGGTTTTGGCGCAGCGCCAGCTCCTTTCCCACCACCCACTGAGCGCCTTGAGCCGCAACAATCGATGCTATACAGGCTGCCGCCGCGCCAGTGACACGTCCCAACTGGCTTCGGTGATAGCGACCCTACTGCAGACCTTTGCTACACCTGTATGCGATGTCAGATTTACAATATACAGCATTTCAGGTATTACCACAGCCGATATTCCGGACTATAGATTACTTTTTACATTGGATAATCTTATTCCGATAGTATGCTATACAATAATGTGGTATTCGTTGAATATGATAGTGAATGTGTACTGTTGGACGTCATGGAAGGAAGGACTTCGGCGACGACGGCTCGTTAATCTCACCACTTCGCTAGCTCATTCTACGGTATCTTTCTACAAAGCCTAATTTATTGGAGTCAACATTCAGGAATTTTGAATATGAAAACATTGGGATAGGCAAGTAGAAGAAATCGGCGCTGGCTTAGGGGGGAGGTATTTTGCACTTACACTACTCCCTGTTATATTACTTACCATGGTGCAACCTCTGAACTCTTGTCAAATGTAGACGATGCTCCTGCTTTTGCATAGCTTTGCAGGAGATGCTCGCACAGCGCACAGCAACATCATGGCGCCATGGTGGCGTCCATACGATTCCCCCCCCCCCCCCAACTGATTCCTTCATCTGGCAGATCCTTTCCATCCACCTACACCATATTCCTTGAACTTTTTCCCAGCCTTCTATCCTGTTTCCCAAAAAAAATTTCCCTGAAAAAAAAACTGCACACATCAGCGTCGGCAGGGGCTCAGCCAGTACTAACGGCAAATGTGACATTCTTCAGTATGACCCCCCTCCCATGGAATTCCCCCATGAATGTTGTACTCTGTATTCACAGGAAGCACCAGCGGAAATATCAGTGGGAACAAGCAAAGTGCCCCCACGAATCCGAACGGCGCCAAACATTCTTCTGTGTAGATTTTGCTTAAAAGGTCGACCAGTAGCTCTGATTTACTTATTCAGCAAGACCAGGTCTTGAGATACACGTTCCTTCTGTCCTCAACCCACAGATCGCTACTCGCCCGCCTGTGGAAAATTCACGGCGCGTTCACACTTCGCGAAGCGATCGCTCTAATCGCTCAATCGGATCGCTCGAGCGATTGGATCGCGCGATCCGAGTGATCAGATCGCGAATATGAATGCGCCTAGAACCATTCGATTTGGAATTAGGTTGAATTTGCAATTTCTGGTGCATTCCTATTCGTATACTTTTGCCGGAATACACGTGTGATGTTCGCCTCACCATTTCATTACTACAGCTATACTGAACTGCAGATTATTCTGATCTCTATGGGCTATTTTATCTATGACTCTCTAGATATGGTCTTTAATGAAACGTAAGCAATTAGTACAGTGGCTAACGCAGATCTTAAAAATCGATGTTTTTTTTTATTTCAGCTTGAATGTGAGCTGCATTGTGCTGATGCTGCATCATATCTGTTCCATATTCTTCCTATCAATGGTTCTAGCTTCGCATAAATTTCTGCTTTATGCCTATTGGGCGCTAATGATGGAGGTATGACGAAGCTTTTCAGGGCTTTGAACAAGCTCCCACCTACGCCTTGAATTCTAACCCGATAACTGGAGTGGAGTTAAAAGGGACGAACAATAGCACATAGTTTCTTGATAAAAATTAGCTACGGTCTTGTCCGCTGCGTGCTGGGGTGTGTTGGCTCGTATTGTGTCGCCCAGTCTATTTCCAGGCTATTGTGCTTGTCAGCTTACGATGAAGAATGGGTGGCGCGCTTTAAATTCCCTACACCCCGTAGATCAGCAGCTAAACGCAGACTGCCACTTGCCTCCACAACAGTCGTGCGGCGTCCCGCAATCCCGCTCGCACGTCGTTCATCCTAAGGAAGTTCGGACCACAGGACGATCCTGCTCTCCGCATCTCTGGAGAATGCATTAAGCGAGCTAACGTTGGATGATTTGTCTGAAACACGTCCATCCCCGACCGAACATTAAGAATCTTACAACAGGCCGCGATGGCGTAGGAGGGAGTACTCAGTCCTGCCCCATCACAGCCATCACGCCGCTCGTAGGATCGACTTTCTTTCTCTGAGCACAATTCATCGATCTCAATGGTCCACTCTTCCACTAACAGGGAAGCTGCTAGCTCTATGAGGAATAGTGAGGTTCTCTGAGACGCAAAACATACATTCATATCTCGGATACGGAGAGGGCGTGGTTGCGCACATCATCTGAACTCTAGCGATTGTGCCTCTGATAGGATGGTGTCGCTCTGGGATAACTGTGGCCACACCCTTCCCTAGCACAAGATAGGATAATAGTTGCCTGAAATGAAAAATGTCCTTCGAAAAATGGTTCTTAGTGCATGTTTAAATGAGGTACGTAGCCCCGCCCATTACATTTCCCAGGTATGGGCGTATGTGAGCTAAGCCGAGTGTTACGTGCTGAACACAATCTCCATTTGATCTGGATTTCTGAAAAAAAAACTTGAATGCGTAGCTTATCATTGCTAAGTGCTTGATAATCATCAAACATCTAATTCTTGTGCTATTTTTAGGTATCGTCAATATTTCTACATTGCCGAGGCCTGTTGAATCAGAGCAAATTGTCGACAACGTCAATGATTAGTCTATACAAAGTGGTTTCGTACATCAACATCGTGACATTTGTTCCATTTCGATTTTTAATTCAACTATTTTTGACGCTTTGGACGTGCGTCAACATTCATAATATTCCCTCGTGAGTGAAAGTCTCGATACAGTCTTACTTTGGCAGCGCCCATCAGCGTCTACCAGCGTCCAATAGCATTCTGAGCGTCCGGCAGCGTCAGCGGCGTCTCGGGAGCTAGGTACAGGGGGGGGGCAAAAAAAAGTCATTTTGCCTC